TTAATTTGGATTTGATCAAATAAATTATTCTTTGATTTGAATTTGATCGAATCAAATCAAATATTCAAATATCAAATCGAATTGCGGAACCCTAATTGTTAATAATCTATTTTGATATTTAATAATTTAAAACTTATTATCTAAGTTAAAGATAAGGGACGAAACTCAAAAATAATAATTAATAAATAGCTGAAATTATATTAAAACATAGTGAGGGATACAACAAAACCCTGAAATCTGAAATTAGCTGAAACTATATTAAAAATATAGTAAGGGATATGATGAAATTATTTTGAGGGAGTTTTGGCTGGCATCTTTAATTTAAGTAATAATATAAGTTCAAAAAATCTTTAAAGATGATTTAATATTCTTAAAAAATTTGACAAACCATAAAATCCTAAAAGTTCCTTAAAATTTGTTAAAGGATTTTTAGGTTTATAAATTTTCAGGTCCTTAGGAATACTACAGAAATTTATAGAATCCTTATGGATCTGGATTCCTAGAACTTTACTGATGTTGCATTATATTTTATTCAAAAAAAATATATTTGATTTTTTAAAGATAAGAAAAAATAAAGAAAATAGTTAGAAAACCATCAAAATATCACTTTTAAAAGGTTTACCTTAATGTATTCCTTTTTAATTTAATAGCAAACCACCCATTTAATCATTTATTAATAATGTAGAGTATTTTAATAATTTAAAAAATAATAAATAAAAATTTTAATATAAAGAAAATACTTTATTAAAAAGATTTAATTTTTTGATATAATTTTGCTTAAAATATTATTACATAATTGAAAGTAAATTTGAAAAATAAAAAATATTAGATTACCAATAAGTTAAAATTTATTTAAACAATATAAGATTATGAAATTTATTATTATAACAATTTTTTATAATTTATTAATAATTTTATGCACAAACATGAATTTTTAAATTTTAAAATCTTAATAAACAAAAAATATTTACAATAATATATATAAAAATTAATATCCAAGTTCGCAGGCTTGCTAAACAATCTAAGGATAGTAGGAAATATTTAAAAGTGGTTATAATAAATAAATATTTTTTCCCAACAAAAACTTTCTAAAATGAAAACTCGTGCAAAAACGGCAAATTTAATTAAAGAATTTTTTTCTTCTTCTCATTATGCTGTTGTGGGTGCTTCTTCCGTGCCTACAAAATACGGAAATAGAGTTTTAAAATGGTATATGAAACCAAACTTAAATTTATTCACAAAAACAAAAAAAAAATAATAATATAACAGCGTGCAAAATTATTAACAAGAATTTTGCAATTTGTGATATATATATTCTTTTTTTAAAATTTTTAGGTATATGACTAATAATCGTCCTGTTACTCCAATTAATCCCGTATGATTATTTTCTACATGTAATTTAACGATCCGATTCATTTTTTTCTAATTTTTTTTTTTTTTTTTTTTTTAGAATGAAACGTTAATTGAAGGTTTACATTGTGTTCCGAACCTTTATTCATTAACCTCAAATCTTAATCATACTGATATTTCCGTCTCAGTTATTACCCCTCCAAAAATTACTAAGACTATTCTTGAGGAAGCTAATAAGGTAAAATAAAATTTTTCATAGATTACTTCTTTATACTTATGAGTAGTATTCCTTTTATTCTCTTTAGTTGGGAATTAAAAAGGTTTGGTTACAACCGGGAGCTGAAGATACAGAATGTCAAGAATATGCCAACCAAGTGGGAATCGACTTAATTTGTGGTGGTCCTTGTGTTTTAGTTGATGGCCCAAGATTATAATTGGAAAATACAATTAAAATGCTAAAATTTATGTAGAGTATACCACTTATATTTTGAAACATTTGAATAACATTTAATAAAAAGAATTTTACAAATCAGTAAAGCAAGGAAATCCTAGAACTTTTTCTCGGGCCACTGTCAGTCCTCGATTTACTTGTATATCCTTCAATACTGTTGATAAATCCGTCCAAAACATAACTCCACCAGCAAGACCTTCCCATAAACTCCAAGGTCTATCTGGAACTTTGACATGTCGTTTTTTGGTTTCTTCTTCCCATTGACTCGCATAAATTCCAAATGCAAGTGCCCTTTGTAATTGCTCCTCATTTTTATTAACGAGATAGAGAAGAAGAAATGAATAAGCATTTCCAAGAGCATTATGACAAAGACCCGTAAGACCTTTTTTCAAAATTCCACGTTCCCATATCAAATCGGATGATTTGACAGCTGCAGATAATAAAGTTGAAGAAGTTGCATGTGTTGGATATAACTCATATATCTTCAAAAATGCCGGAACAATTCCCGAAGCTCCATGACATACTCTATTGAATTTCAAATTATTTCATTCATTCACAATTATTAATCGTATTTCTTACGATTAAAAATAATTCAGAGTGTACTCACTGAACCAGATCATCATGGGTTGATTGTAAGCTCGCTGGATAATTTCCATTCTTAAATGCAACTTTAACTAGCCATTCCATTGTTTGAAATAAATCATCCAAATATGGCTCAGCAATCTTTTTAAATTGTAGCAAAATAGCAACAATACCGGCTTTTTTGCTCGTTAGTCGTTAGTGTGAACATATTATTAAGCGAAGTTAAACACATTTGATTAAAAAAAACTCACCAACTCCATGCACGGCTCCAAGATATTCCTGGCCATGCCAACTCCACATTAACGGTGGTCTCTCATTTTTCTCCTCATCGTAAATTTCCTCATCATCATCAGAATCTAATCCACCTTTTCGACCTTCTACAATAATTAGTTCAAAAATTTCTTTAACTGTATCATCTGTTAATCTTTGCATAATATTTGCGTTATCAAAGCAATGCTTTTGTATAAACTTTAACGCGTAAAGATATCCAACTCTTCCATACAACAATTCGTTAGATTCCTCTTTTACTGCCAAAGGGTGATACTTTTCAAGAATTAAATTCATATAACTTAAAGCTTCGCCAGTATTATTCTCTATGATATGATAAACCACTACGGCTAAAGCTAAAGGTCCAACATGACTTCCCAAAAATCCGACGTGTTTTTCTATAGTTTTCTTCACCGCAGATAATGCGGCTGAAAGATATGTTGTGCACAAAACGCCAACTTTATCGCCTGCAATAGTCAAATTGGGGTCGATTTGATGTAAATGAAAGTATGTAAAAGCTATACCAGCGTAACCTAATTTAAAAATAAATAAAAAAATAAATTTGATTTGAATTCCAAAAAAGAATTTTTTTTTTTTTTTTGTTGGCAAGTTACCACAAAATACATCATAGTCTCGAGAGTAGTGTGATACTGTATAGTTGTAAAGAATTTTTTCAGTGTTGAGCTTTATAAAATGATCAAGCCTTTTAGGATCGAAATCGTTGATCCTTGGAAGGTTCAGTGTGTTTTTCAGATAACGTTCAGTCATTGAAAAATAGAAAATGAATCAACTGCGTTGTGATGTAGTGGAACCGAACCTACATAAATAATAAATCCGAATTTTTTAGTCAATAAATTAAATTAGGTACACTTAGAAAATAAGAAAAATATATTATTGAGGTAAGCCAGTACTTTGTATTCCATATCCATTTTCAACTTCCGAAAACCAGACTATGAATTTAGAATTATTTATAAGGAATAAATTGTTCGCCCTTGGTTTACATGAAGAGGTAATTTCAAGTATTTTTAACAAGAATTAATAATCATAAAGTCGAAAATAATTAAAATTTTTCATTAAATTAGACATTTGGCGAATATATTGCAGGAATTATCACCGATGAATCACTAGAAGAGTCGGAAAAACGAGAAGCCATTTCCGAATTTATATCGGGCGCAACAGTGAGATATTTAATGATTCTCTCAAATTCAATTGAATTATTCAAGTAATTATTACTTATTTCCAACTTTCATTGAGGACAAACCATCAGAATCAATAATAGATGATATATTTAAAGCAAGGATCGAATTTGAAAAAGAAGAGCAAAAAACCAAAGAAGCTGATGAGAAACTTAAGCAAGAGCAAGAACCAAAGGGTAATTAAAAGAATTTCCTTTTATATATATTTTTTGATTTATTTATAATTTCTAAGACATTAAACAATTTTTGATAAAAGAGTGTGAAGATGCTGCTTTACAACATAATTATGAACATGCTTCAACTTCTATCGAATCCACTACGATAACGCTTCGTAATCCAAAAAAACAACTTACGAAAGAAGAACGCAAAAGACGCGAACAACTGCTCGCGAGATATAGTTATGAATTGGATGAAGTTGTAGAAAATGAAGATGGAGAGGCAGAAATACAATATAAAGATAGAAGTGCAAATAAAGAGATTAGTGAAGGTAGAAATTCTTTCATTATTGTCATTATTGTTAAATTAGAATTATTTATCTCAATTAATAATTCTATTCATTTTGCATAAAAGATTTGTTACAAACCAATCGTAATGCAGAACAAGTAAAGCAAAAAGAACAATTTCGAAGGGAGCAAATGAGAAAGCAACATGAGGAAGAAAAAGAAAGAAATCGTAAACTATTAGAAAAACAACAAGAAGATAAAGAAAAAGCAAAAAGGAAGACAATGAAAAGAGAAAAAAGAAGTTGGTAGAAAATATTAATTCAATTCCTAGCACTCTTATAATTGCTTCAAAATAAGTCTATTTCAATCATCACCATAAAAATTGCTTGATATAATAGATATTGCCAATAATTGCATGTCGCTTAGCCTTACAATTTCTTTCTTATATAATAAAGAGTCGCGTTTTTGATCTTCTTCCCTCCTTACAATAAATCTATCGTTTCCAATAGATTTCCAGATGATAGAATTGCGCAATAATTCCGAAAAGCTTTGATATCCAGTTGATGTAATATCAACATTCTCTTTATGAAAATCTTTATACAACAATTCAAGACAACATGAATTTAAAATGGTTTTATTGGGAAATAAATGTCTCGTTTTCCACAGGACTTGTTCGGCCCTTTGTTCTTGCTTTTTCAACAACTTGTTTTCTTCAATCTTGCGTGTATCGTGACCAAATCTGATATCATAAAAACCCTTATCATAACAGATTGATTTCATTTCCTTAGTTACTAAAGTCATATCAAAAGGTTCATCTTGAAGTGAATCTGGAGAGAGCAATGAAATCCATTCCGGTTTATTATGTTTATGTTTATTATGTGGACAAGTTGTAATCATGAAACTTTTAGGCCAAATCTCGCGTATGAATTCAGATAAAGTTGTGTCTGATGATCTCGCGAAATTATCCCAATTAAATTCACTGCAATAGATCTTATGATAAAGGTCCAATATTTGATCAACGTTTATGAATGATACCTTTTCATATACCAAAACTTTTATAATATGAAAAGGATTAATAATGTTTGTAACACTAGAAATAATCCTGATGATGACTAATCTACTTACATATGTTTTTTATCCGCTTTTCGATTTTCTCAAGTTCTTCATAATCTCCTTGTGAATAGAAATCTGAAAGTTCATCATCAGATAACAATTCTACCTGTTCTTCTCTTCCTTTACCAATATAATATCGACTAAGGTCCATCATAAACATATTGGGTCAAATTTCAAAATTTTTTTTTTTATTCAAGTTAAAAATTAGACGTGTTACTTTTCCTAAATAGGCTCGCTGTCTATAATGATTTGGACTTCAACCATGTGAATACGTCAATAAATTTTATTATGCATCCCGCTTTAAACTTATTTTGTTATGTAATTTTAAATTCCCAACTTTTTATTAAAAATATATAATTATTTTTTTATATTCCCCAAAAACGTTTTCTACACGATCTTCGAAATTGGTTGCTCAATTTACCAGATCGTTGTTGAAATCTTGAGTGATTGCGATAGTTTTACCATTTCATCTTAAAAGTAAATGCTTACAAAATATGCAGTCAGTATATAAGTTAGTTTCTACTGTAAATCAGTTTTATAGGGAAATCAACCCTTCAACACTTTCTGGTGCCATTGACGTGATTGTCGTAGAACAACCTAATGGTGAACTAGCATGTTCACCTTTTCATGTTCGATTTGGGAAACTATTGGTTTTAAGACCTCAAGAAAAGAAGGTATGTGACCATATTATTATTATCTATCTACATTTGAAATATCTTTCTAATTTCTTCGATATAGGTTGAAATTACTGTCAATGGAAATGTTGTTGATTTCCCAATGAAAATTGGAGAAGCCGGGGAAGCTTTTTTCGTGTTCGAAACCGAAAACCGTGTCCCAAAAGAATTGCAAACCTCCCCATTAGCAGGTCCTAGTGAGCCTTTACCTACTGAAGAGGTGATTATATGATTTATTCATTTAATTAATCATTAATTTATAATTTGATTAAATTAATCAAAAATGACATATGATGTTTAATCAACTTATATTTAAATATGATAGGAACCTGATTTCTTGGATTTAAACACAGATAACCCTAAAGATAGTACGTCTCAGTGAAGATATTATAGAAATTCGGTTTCTTTGTAGATCATAGTATTCCTTTTAAAAAAAATTTTTTTTCCTTTTTTTAGTCCTTAAAAATAAAGTTGAGCAAAATAATACTATCGGTTTAGGTATGCAAATTATTTAAGCTGTTTGATTTCGAAATCAAAATTAATCCTATTATTAATGTATTAGATTTTGGAACAGATGATGGTTATGAAGGAGATTCTGAACCAAAAATATTCGTTTCTGAACCTAAACACAATGATGAGATGAATGTTGAATTACCTTCAGTAATAACAGACCTAGTCAATCCGACTTCTGAAGAAGAAAATATAACAGATGAAAATGCAATTTTAATATCAGATGATGAGAAACTGAATAAGACGATTTTAAATGGAGATACCGTTCATGAAATGGGAGAAAAACATACACTTGATAATCAAGATATGAAATTGGAATCAAATGGCTCGTCGGATTCAATATTATCAATTGATGATATTACTGATTATAAGCCTGAATCGCTGGAAAATTTATATTTCAAATCTGGTAAATTTCTCATTCATTATTAAAATTGATGGATTACTATTTATATAACAATCTATATCTAATACTAGTTTATATGGTGTGCCTTTAGATGATAAGCAAGCGATCGATGAGGATGAAAGTCTGTCGAAAGAAGTAAATAGTGTGGTTGCTAACGTTAGTGCTCTTGAACCTGGTTTAGTAAATGCTTCTGATGATAACCTTGTAGTAAAAAATAATGTTGATTCTAATTTAGGTAAATAGTACTATTTGGATAACACAATATATATATATTTATTTTTTCATCATCAATTGTAACAACAATAAATAGAACTATAATAATAATGCAGTTAATTCGTCGAAAAATCGACTGCTTTACGTGCAAAAGCTCAACTTAGTGACGCGATAGACACGCAACAGTCCAAAGAAAGTAACAATATACCACGATTAGAAACTGAAGGATCGAGGCAGAATCGAGAGAGGGCTTTATCAATACCTTCCGTTCATCCAAAATGTTCGTTCGTCATACTTTTTTTACATTATAAGCTGTGTCGCAATGAAATTCTTATCCGGCGTTAATATTCTACATTAGGGGAAAAATCCGAAGGTCCGTTTTCCGATACAGAATTGGAAGAAACACGAAAACCAGAAAAACCTTTGGAAAGACGAACAAACAGAGTCAGTCCTTTGAGTGATACAGAATTGGAATATGGGTCCCAAAAGCCTTCAAAAGATTCAGAAGAGTGGTCATGGGTCTGGGGAGCGTTGCCTGTGAGAAAATCTGAAAAAATCTCGCATTGGCAAAATGGCACGGGCGATAAAGATTGGAAAGATAATAATACAATCGAAAAGCCATCAGGTATAGAAATTGGAGGCAAGGTTCATCATTTTGAAATGTCATTATGCGGAAGCGAAGCCTTTGGAAGGGATGAGGTAGATATAACGGTTGCAATTATTTAAAAAAAAATTTCCAAATTAATATTGTATTTATTAATCATGAATAAAAAGCAAATTGATGATGAAATGTTTCGCAAGAATCAAATTACATACGAATATTTCTCGGAAAATCCGCGGCTTTTGAATGACAAATCATTGGTTTTTAAATATGACAACAGGTATTGCTCATTTTGTTAATGTTAATATTTCAACTTGAAAAGTTTATTAAATATTTTTGGTTTTATTTGACAAGATATTATTCGTGGCCGACCGCTGCTCCCATAATAGTTTCCTTACTTGTATATCAAAAGCCTCTCCCAGATTCTACAATGGCTAATTTATCTAGTAATAGACTTGAGGAATTAAGATCATCGGATCAGCGTAGATATAGCCTAAGGGGATGGAGTCGGTGGTGGAGTCGTTCATCAAGTCCGGTTCCAATAGAGGCATCAGAAAAGATTGATAAGAAACCAAAGAATAATGTTGAAAAAGTTAGTACACAAAAATATTATTAAAAATTCGAAGCACAAAAGTTCACAACATTAGATTAACCAACATAATTTCATCAATCTTTATAGGAAGATGAGAAACCGACAAAGTTCTATGCGAAAACACTACGCCTTACTTCTGAACAATTGGTAAACTGATAGCTTTCAATATTAGAAATAATCTCCGGCCCATCTGTATTAATTAATACAATTAACCTCTCATCATAGAAAAGTCTCAACTTAAAGAAGGGAGCAAACACAATAACTTTTTCCGTCCCTTCTTCCTATCAAGGAAAAGCTACATGCGTGGCCAAAATATTCTTCTGGGATTGTGACACAAAGATCGTAATTTCCGATATAGATGGAACAATTACAAAGTTCGTTTATAAAGTTATTATATATTATTTTTTTCCGCCTTTAATCAGTTATTTTATTGTTTGTTTTAGGTCGGACGCTCTTGGGCATGTATTTACAATGATCGGAAAAGACTGGACACATTCAGGTGTTGCCAAATTATACACGGATATTCGAAAGAATGGTTATCAAATTTTATATCTAACGAGTAGAGCTATTGGACAGGTGATACATAACTTTCTACATGATAGTACTTGAAAAAGATTACTTGGTGGTATATATTTATGCATTCCTTTGTCCTTACTTTAGGCCGGATATACAAGAGATTATTTAAAGAAAGTTGAACAAGACAAATATCAATTGCCTGATGGACCTGTTATTATGTCACCTGATCGCTTATTGACCGCCTTTCATAGGTATGTACACCTTCGATTGTTTTAATTATTGCGTAGTTTAATCTATCAAAAATAAAATTTTTTCTGATTTTAGAGAAGTAATTATGCGCAAACCTGAGGTTTTCAAAATGGCTTGTTTACGAGATGTACAAAAATTGTTTTTTGATAGAAATCCATTTTTTGCAGGATTTGGAAATAGGATAACGGTATATATCAATTTAAAATTACTAAAAAAAAGTGTAAATTTTTTTTAATGAATACTAATGTAATATGTCGCTTATAGGATGCTTTATCTTATCGAAGTGTTAATGTACCATCATCAAGAATATTTACAATTGACACAAATGGTGAAGTGAAGTTGCAATTATTATCAGGATATAAATCATCGTAAGTATTATGAATTTACTTTTTTTAATTATGTATTACCTCATAATAATAAATAATGAATCTTATTCGATGTTAACAGATATGTAGATCTAAGTGATCTAGTGGATCAAATGTTTCCTCACGTTACATGGGATACAGTTTATAATGATTGGAATTATTGGAAGCCACCTTTGCCGGAAATTGATATACCTACAGAAATATATGAAAATCAACCAATACCATCATCACCAAAGAAAACAGTTGCTATAATTGGATCGCCTCGTTTAGGAATGATTCGAACATTTACCGGAACTATAACTGGAAGCAACAATATGAATCAACAGAAGAAAGTGAATACAGCACAGTCAACACCAGGCATGTTAGAATCATCAGGAAATACTTCATCAGATAAAATAAATGAGAATGATCCTATAATAGCAAATAATAGAATTGTATATGTTGGAGGAGATGTTGATATGCCAGGTAGAATGGACATTGACGAAAATGAAGAAAGTAGAAGCATGGTAGGGTATGATGACGACATAGATGAAGATGATGATGGAGATGATGAAGGGGGATTTGACGACGAATATGTAACCGATGATAATGAAGAGGAAAGTGATTTCGAAGAATGTATACCGGCTGACATTGATTTAAGTGACATACCTTATTAAAGGACTTTATATTTAATATTCTTTTATCAATTTTGTAAAATCATTTTGTATATTAAGCAATGATCGTAAAACTTTATTCATTAAATTATTATATGAGAACCTTTTGCTTATAATGAATGAATGATTTGTATTTAATTATTGACATCATAAAATAATTGTTAACAACCGTATAATAAATAGATTCATTTATGCCAAAAAATAAAAGTATTAATGTATGTATAATCTAATTTTTTTTTTATTGTCACGACTTATTACTCGTTTTTTCTTAGTTGCTTAACTTTCTCCTCATGTTGTGCATAAATCATGGAAGTGAATGGTCTAAAAAAGAAAGTGAAGTAAGTAAAGTAGAATAAATTTATATAAAACATTCATATAATACGTACCCTTCAAATCGTAGTGCAATTAAGTAAAGCACAAAAGCCCAGATAGTCAAAATCATCCCAGCTGGACTAGCATACCATAAAGCAGTAGATAAAAACACCATTGAAGAACCATAGTACATTGGATTATCAAGAACATTAAAAGGAAAAGATGTGACTCGTTCACTCATTAAAATACCAAAATAATCGCCTAATGATTTTTTAATATATACATAATATTAATTTACTACCATTATTAATAAATAAAAAGAAACGATTCAGCACGTACCAAGGTAAGTTCCTGTAACACCTAACGCGTACATTGATGATAATACAAAAATATTTCCAGAAAAAAATAAGACCAAAGCTAACCCTTTTGAATAATCATTATTTAAAGAATGAAGGATTGGTTGATCCTCGATTGCTTTTTTGTATCTTAATTTTTCAAATTTGGGAAGATTAAAAAAAAGAATTAAATCGGATGAATTGTAAGTAGAAAAAAATAAATGACTTACAAGAAATCCCTAATAATTCCAAGAGAAAAAATCATTAATGCTAAACAATAACAACCAACATAAGGATTTCCACCAACGAATCGAGATATTACTCTCGCTTTATGTTCTACAAATTGTTTTAAAAGATTTAAATAATAAGTTTAATTGATTTTATTAATAAAAAGAGTAAATTAATACCTTTTCTCGCGGCAATATTCCAAAAGAGTGGGTTAAAAGTTATGGAAGCGAAAGAAATCCAAAAAGACGTTTGAGAAAAATTAATGTGGTTCAAAAATTCTTGATACATTTTTAATAAATCCGAGAAAAGAGGAAATGGTAAAACAAAAGTATATATATATATATATATATATATTTCGAAAGGAAAGGGCGCGTATAATTTTTTTTTTGTACCTCACATGCTACCATGTGAGATCATTATTACCAGATTATCTACAATTTTTGGCTTAGATTTAGTTTTTTTTTTTTTTTTTTTTTTTTTTTTTTTGTTTTTTTTGTGTGTTTTTTTTTAATTATTTTATTGTTTTTTTTTGGGGTTTGGGCCCCCCT